GAGCCAGAGGGTGTAGCAACAAAGGACATGTACACCAGAATTATGAACAAATTGCATTTAATTGCAATATTTTAAATGTGCACAATAAAAGAAAAAAAAACAAAAGCGTGCCTGATATAAAAAAAAATAACCCCAAAGTCTTTGTCCCTAGTCTTAAAGTGTTTGTCTCTCAACGTTCGTTCGGTCTTTCAATGTTCGTCTCAGTCTTTCAATGTCCCTTTGTGTGATTGTGACCAGTCGGATCACAAATACCAGTTGGCTGGGTAGTTCGCTTCCAGGCTTTGGCTCGCCATCCAGATCTGGAGATCCTTGTTCTTCGTAAATCCAGGCCTCTCAAAAAACCAAGCTGCGCAACGTGTGCCTCATAGCTAGGGGTGTTTCAGCTCGCGTGGTTCACAGCCTTCGGACTCATCAAAATCCAAGTGTTTTCAACAAAAAGGCTGCTACTGCTGCGCTAGCTCCCCCACCTCGGACAAGCGATCTCTCCAAGCCTGCGTCTCTGGCGCGTCTGAGCAGCAGACACAAGCCAAGCACAGGCTGGGAGAGGGAACCTGAACTTATTGGCTAATGCTGATATTGTTCAACACAGCCTTAGAAGTTGAGTTAGTGGTAAAAAGGATGGGAGTATATGTTATGAAGCTAATTAAAAGCCTGTAGGTAGAAGGAAGGAAAAGCAAGAAGTTGCTTAGTAAGTTGAGCTTATAACAAAAATATTACAACATTAACCCATGATACACATTTGTGAAACTCTTCCAATGAAACTGATTTAAATATTTAGAGTTACAGGCTGTAGTAGATTCAAACCCTCCTACCTTCCAGCTTTAACCTAATTACATTCACACTACAGATGTGAAATGCATTCTTTTGGTTAAGATCCAGATTGAATGACTTTAAGGTGGGAGAAGGAACATAGATGTCCCGCTAAATTGAGAGCTGTGGCTTTAGGCTCAGCTCTCTATTCACCTTGACAGACTTGCCTATTCAGCAAGGCAAACAATGCCCTTTAACAACCCCCCCTTTCAGAGACTTAGACAGATATGGGGCATTGCAGGCTTAGAAAAGATTCAAGCGACCCCCATTCCAAAAGGGTGGACCCATTTATTGGTTTCAATTTGCATGTTTTCAAAATCTGTGTCGATGGGATTTGAATTAAAAATGCCACTGAAATTTAAATGTTGTATGTTTGTACTTACTGTTTCAGTGTTAAAATATATTCAGAACACATTTTTGACCTAAAAAGAAGTTCATTGTCATTATTTCTACACAGTTGAAATGTAATGTTATTTTCTCTAAAAGCTAAAAATTCACATTACTATTTCAAAGTGATTACATTTTCAAAACTTATTTTTCAGTTTAATATTTCTGTGTTAAAAAAATCTGCATATAAACCTTTCAAAATTCAAAGTCAATATTTTCAGCCTCCTGAGATTCAACTGGCTCTATTTCACTGTCTTAAATTCGGCGTCTAAATTCAGTGTGAAAAGGGAAGGGTTACTTCAGGTCACAGGCATTAACAATGGATTGTGGCGTCCAACACCCAGCCAATCCCGTTACGTTTTCTTAGCCACGTGACGTGACGCTTGTGGTGCTCATACTGAAGGAAAACCAGCATGACGGAGCCGGTCATGCAAGCTAACGCTAACTCAACTACAGAAAAATGAAAGTAATAAACTCACCGTTGACAGTGAAACTTTCAAGTATTGAAAATGTAATCACTTTGAAATAGTATTGTGAATTTTTAGCTTTTAGAGAAAATAAGAAATTAAATTTCAACTGTGTAGAAATAATGACAATTGATTTTTTTTAGGCCAAAAATGTGTTCTGAATATATTTTAACACTGAAACAGTAAGTACAAACATACAACATTTACATTTCAGTGGCATTTTTAATTCAAATCCTAGCGACACAGATTTACTTCCATAGGCAACTGTATAAAACCTCAAACTCAACGCTATTCCTGACATTTTTAATTGAAAAATCTTGCTGGATAAGAAACAAAACGTCTTCAAACTTGGAAACAAAGTCCGTTGGTCTGTTTTTTAGCTTATTTTTTTTGGAACCTCAACAGACACAGCTTCTTCACTATAGCGGCAGCTGCACTGATCAGTCTATCGATCACCCACTCCATTCTCCCATCTTGTGAACAGGACCCCAAGATACTTGACATCCTCTACTTGAGAAAGGAACCTTCCTCCAACCTGAAGGGTATGAAGCACTTTTTCCAGGCCTGAACCATGGCCTTGGAGAAGCTGATTCTTATCCTCAGACCCTGGGCTGCACCTAGGGGTGTAAATCACACCTATCATGTCGATTCAGTTCCGTATCAATTTCCTGACCCAATGATTTGATTATTTTCGATACTGAAGAATACACCACCATACGATTTGATTCGATTAAGTGGTAATTTTTTTGTTTTTTACCCTACAGGCTAGGCAATGTTTCAAATTGGAAATAAATCAATGAAACCTGTAATATCATTATTCATTTTATTTGAGAAACAAACGCAAATAACAGAAGTAGCAAAGTAGTACTCCACCTAGGCCTATGGAAAACCTCATTCATTGAAAAATAATAATGCCTCTGTGTTATAGATTCTGAAATGCCTTGCATCAAAAAATACTGCAATGAGTGCATAAGTGCACCAGCAGATTAAGTAACAAAAATAGGCCTATAATACATTCACTATAAAATAACAATACTTAACAAAATCAGTGCAATGAGTGCAAGTGTGCACTAACAGCAAATGTTAACAAAAAATACCCCTGCACTTCATTCACTATGAAATAACAATACTCCACAACTCCAAAAAGTCAGCAAAATTATTCAAAACCGCTACTAGCAACAGAAAAGTAGGCATGTACTTTATTCACTTAAAAGTAATAATGCTTCTGTTCTATACTGAAGTGTTGAGGAAAAGAGAACAGTTAGTAAAGCTGTAACATTAAACTACAGCATTGTTACAGTTCAATGCTTTCAATTGTGCTTCTTGACAGATTTTTCTTTAAAATAATTAACTGGTCCACATGCTCAGAGGACAAAACACTACGTTCTGAATGCACAATGTCACCTGCTGTACTAAACACATGTTCTGACGGTACACTTGTACCAGGTATGTACAAGTAGGTCTTGGCCAGGTCAGGAAACTTGGCCTGATGATTCTAACACCTTACCACCCAGGCTCAGAGATGCAACCTGTACTGCCTAATTTCATCATTGGCTAGCTGTTTGGATGTTTTCTTCCTGACACTTTGGTCCTCAGTGC